GGGGGGGGGGGGGCCGGCGGGGCACAAGGGAATGACCTCAATGACAAATAGCACTGGGCTCCCCCTCTGCCCCGTGCCAGTGCCCGCAGACATTTTATTTCACATTTATCCATATGAATACGTACGCAATTCGGGCACTCAACGGGAAGTGGCGTGGGAAAGTAAGTCTGCTCCCCATCCTGTCCCCGGTCACCTGGCTCCACTTTGTAGGGCAGCCGCGGTCATCGGGTTCTCCCAGCTCTTTTGTGTATATATTCTAGTGTTTGCTCTCCAATGCAGCCTGCCGCCCAAGGAGTTCTTCCCTAATATGTAACTTGTGCTCTGACCAAGTTAGACGTCTCTTCACGCCCAGAAGTCATACTTTCCTACCCCAGGACTTTGTTCACGCCGTCCCCTCTGGAGTTCCTTTCCCCACCGTATCTGCTCTTACAATCCAACCTGTTCTGTAAAGGCCAGCTCAGGCAAAACCTCTTCTTCTGTGAAGGCTTCCCTGATTTCTTCAGCCGAAGGGCTGTCTCCCTCCTTAGAACTCACCCGCTCTCTGGAGCTCTTTAGGACACTCTGCCTTATGCTGGAGTTATTTTTGACCCGGGTCTCATTCCTCCTAATAAACTGTGACCTCATTCGTGTCTTCAGCCAATTTTTCATGATAGTGCGTGTTAGGCATTCTTGCACCTACCCAGGAAGAAAGACCATTTTAAGCATGCATTTGTGTAATTGCTAACTTTGGTCAAGTACAGTGTCTGAGACATAGTGGGCAATCAGTAGATACCTATGAAGGGGTAGACGGATGTGTGGATAGATAGGTGGGTGGGTGGGTGAATGGGTGAATGGGTGGGTGGGTGGATGGGTGGATGGGTGGATGGATGAGTACATGGGTGGATGGGCATATGGGTGGGTGGATGGGTGAATGGGTGAATGGGTGGATGGGTAGGTGAGTGGATGGGTACATGTGTGGGTGGGTGGATGGGTGGATGGACGGGTGAGTGGATGGGCATATGGGTGGGTGGGTGGTTGGGTGAATGGGTGGATGGGTGGGTGAGTGGATGAGCATATGAGTGGGTGGGTAGATGGATGGATAGGTGAATGGGTGGATTGGCAGTCATGGAATATGTGGGATCAGGAGGTGAATTACTGGGTTATTGGCCTTTGCTTTGATCATAGTGATGGTGGGGGTGGTGTTGTGATGCAGGCTGGCTTCATGGGCTTATTTGAAGTTTATGAAGCTCATGGAATTTTTCTATCACCCAGGTTGCGAGCAGACCACCACCGAGGGGTGAGTGTGGAGGAGGGATTTTGGAAGGGAGCACAAATGCCCAGATTGCTATCCGGAGCCACCTGTGTTGTAAGGAATTTGACCCGGCTCAGAAGCACAGACTTCCCTTTGGTCATACCATGCTGCTCTCCAGACACCTAGGAGCGGTCCCACCCCACCCGACACAGGGGTCGTTTCTGTGGCCCCTCTCAGCTGACATGGGGCTGAGGTGCAGTTTGTCTCTTTCTGCAAGATCCTTGCTTCAGACTGTCTTCTGGAAGACTTGGCACAGGCAGCCCCAGGTGGGAGGGTATATATAGAGGGAGCCCAGGTGGGAGGGTATGGAGAGAGAGCCCCCAAAAGCTTTTCTTCCCGTTCTCCACCTACAAAGCGTGAACGTCCCCCCACCTTGGCTGCTGATGGGCTGGGGAATGGGCCCAGAGGGAAAGGGTTAAGTGGGGCCTGCTTTCTGGGGTCGAGCCTGCATTCCTTCTCCCAGAGATATGCCTGCTGTGGGGCCAGAGGCTAAATTTAGAAGGTAGCTCAGGTTTCCTGGTGACAGCTGTCCTGCCCCTCAGAGGAGAGGCCTGAGGAGACTGAGTGGGGCCTCTCACTGGTCAGGCTTGTGGTGTTGCCTCTGGGTCCCCCAGTCCTGGGAGACCGCCCTTGGTGTGGAGACCACAGATCCGCGGTGAGTGCACTACCTTCTCCTCTCTGTCCCGT